CAGCCTGGCCTGTGCCCTCTCGAAATCCAGGATCCCTCAGGAGATATGTTGGAGAGGTTTCAGCCCGATCCCCCCAGGCCAGACTGAGGGACCCCACTCGTGCACGAATCCGTGCACCGGGCCTCTAGTGTTTCTACTATAAAATCAAAGATATTAAAATGATAAATTTGGCATAAAAAACAAAGTATTAGATAAGACTGTTTTTAGAACTTACATTTCTCAATACAAGTACTAGTTAACCCATTTGGTAAGGCCAGAATGTAGTCTAGTTTTCATATTTATGCTGCCCTACTTATAATGAAAAATCCTTAATGACCCATTAACATCACAAAAGTGTTTCTCTGGGAAGAATTTATTATCTAATTTATTAATTAGATCATTAATATTTATTATAAATTGGGAATGGGATACAGTGTTTCTTCGAGGGCGCCCTATTCCGGGGTGCATCACCCAAGAACCACCCTCTCACAATCAGGGACCCCTTGGGGGAAGTTGGAGAGCTGGTTTTAGCCCGATCCCTCCAGGCCAGACTGAGGGACCTCACTCGTGCACGAATCTGTGCACTGGGCCTCTAGTGTTTCTACTATAAAATCAAAGATATTAAAATGATAAATTTGGCATGAAAAACAAAGTATTAGATAAGACTGTTTTTAGAACTTACATTTCTCAATACAAGTACTAGTTAACCCATTTGGTAAGGCCAGAATGTAGTCTAGTTTTCATATTTATGCTGCCCTACTTATAATGAAAAATCCTTAATGACCCATTAACATCACAAAAGTGTTTCTCTGGGAAGAATTTATTATCTAATTTATTAATTAGATCATTAATATTTATTATAAATTGGGAATGGGATACAGTGTTTCTTCTTATGAAAAAATATATATCCAAAATTATTTGGAAATCTATAAACTGATAAAATTCAATCTTTAATTATATGGCAATGTCTTTCCAGGAACACTAAGTATGCAACATGTATAATCAAGTAATTGAGAACTAAATTTATTTCTTCTCCTACTTCTTTTTTCACAGATATGAGGATGAAGGTCATGCTGGGCAAGCTGAACCAACTCCCCCACCAGTCAGTAAACGGGGTGTCCAGAAGGAAGGTTAGCCGCCGTGCTGTCCGAGAAGAGGGTGGTGGCCGAGAAGAGGCCGCAGTATCTGCTCCCAGTACGACCACTGTCACATCTCCTGGGCACACCTGTGCTCCAGGCTCTCCTGCTCAGCAGATGTGCATGCAGGAGGCTGGAAACTGGAAAGAGGCCCAAGAGCAGTTGCTGAGATACCAGCTGGCAGGTCAAGATCAGCTGCTGCTGCTCTGTCCAGACCTCAGACACGAGAGGCAGCAGATGCAGGAACAGAGTCGGCTGGCCAAGGACGGTGGCAGCTCAGGACGTTCCCAAGAGAAGAAAGCATCCTGTGGTGCCAGCGAGGCATTCTGCCTTCATTCAGTCCATCCCCAAGGTATTCAGGAACAGCTGTGACCCAGGAGCAGCGCGGGCCTTTGGGCTGAAAGTCAGAATGTTCAACATATTTCTTGAAAATGAACAGGGGAGATGAGGCCTGACTTATATAGACACTAAGAAGGAAGAATATGGACTCTAAAATCTCTTTTTTTTTCAACTTTGAAATGGGAGATAGTCATATAAATGCTTGAAGATTGAGAGAATGCTAGATATGTCTTTTGTATTTATTATGGATCTTAGTCCAATGTCAGTCAAATAATAGGTTCCCAAGTATTTGTTAATATTTTACTTGTTAATTTAAGCCTGATTTTGCCATCTTAATAATGATATAACACTTACTTATACCAGTAGGGGTTGTTATTAAGCTTCCTTTAGGAGGACCACCCCCAATTCTTTGGGCTTCTCTTATTAAGGGGTCATGAGAAGATCTGGTCTGCTACGATTATTTCTGCAGTGTTACAGTAAGGTATTTTTTTTGTCTTATAGGAACATTTGAATGGTAAGAGATCTATCAGAACTTACCTTTTAACTAGAACACAACATCCTGGGTTTTACCAAGCTGATTTCATTTTATGCTTAAATGCAATCATTATTGGGAGCTCACAATAGAGCAAACGTATCAAGTTTGCACCTCATGAGTATTGATACATGAAAATTGATATTCTCATGGGATTTGCTGAGATTTTTAATTAAATATAAACATACAAGAAAAGCAAGTTCAGGAAAATTAACTGTTTATAGGTCAAAGTTATTTCTAGATAGTTCTTTGTAGTAGTAACTGGGTAAAATTACAACTGGAATTAAAAAAACAAAACAAAACAAACAAACAAAAAAAACCTGTGTGTTGGGAGACCAGGATAACCAAGTGGCCAAATGGATTATCAGTTAACTCATTTATCAGAGAACTGCTTTGGCAGAAAAGTACTTCATAGAGCTGTCTGATGAGGTGGGGAAGAGATTACATGTGCAGCCTTTCTGGGCTATGCTAGAGGCTCTGATGGAGACCAGAGTAGAGGGTCAACTGGTGTTAAGCTGGGTAAAGATGCCAATGGCAATGTCACCTAATTCATACATTTCCACAGGGCCCATCCGTGTTCATACTAAAGGGTACTTTAAGGAGCGTGACTGTGTCATTGGCTCTGGATCCAGAAGGCCCTGTGCTCCGAAGGAGTAAAGCAAAGATAGCAGAGGGGAACAGGATTTTCAGAAAGAACTTCCTCTCACCTTTTCCCTAAGTATAAACCAGGATTTTCCCACCTCCAGAAGGTTAAAGGGCTGTCCTGTGTTTGAATTAGATCAGAGGAAGGAGATGGACTCTTCTATGGCAGAATTTTAAATAAGGATGCCCTGGAATTAGCCCCATAGAAAATACTGGCAAAAAGTCATCATCACAGGGCGTCAATGGGAAAATATGTGTCACCTTGCCATGAGTTGGCAGGAGCTTTCTCGGCCTCTTTGTCCATTCTTTTGGTGTCTTGTGACATCTCAAACCTTCAAGCTGCCCCTAAAGGAGACAGGCAGCCTTCTCCGTGGCACAGTGTTGAATACAGAGGGAGGAACAATTAGACGTACTTCAAGAGATCTTAATCCAGACTCGCTGTGTTTAAGGAGGGCATGGATGGGCAATCTGTCCTACAGACATTAACTGTGGAGGCACAAAATAGCTGCCTGAAGGGTAAATCCCATTGCAGATGTATGTTTTTTGGGCACTAACAGTATCTAAAAAACATAACAACAGAAACAATAACGTGAATGGCTTAGGCAGACTATGCCTTCTCTAGTTTAATTCGTCCCTGCTATCACCTGTTCTTTATCTCATTTTTGTAGCTTCCTAGTCTGAGTAATTTTGTTTGCAATCTTTACTTTAGTCCTCAAAGAGCTGTGATCTTTTTGTACAAAAACATTTTAGAAGTTAAGGCTTTTGCGGATTATACAATGGTAGGAGTCTTAGCACTACCTACTGAGGTCTGTCTACACATTCTCCCTTTCACTCTGGTGACTTCTTTCACCGTCTCAAATTCCAGCCTAGATTTCTTTCCTGAGCTCTGTGCCATATATTTAGCTGCCACTGAGAACTATCCGCTCGGATGCCCCGCAGCCACTATGCCTTAACATGGCCTCACAGCCCCCTCCTCCTCATGCTTTCCCTAACGCAATACACCACGTCCCTGCACTCAGACCAGACATCTAGAAATGAGCCATGATTCCATGTTCTATCTTACCCTTCCCAAAGGGTCAGCTACCAGCTCTGTTATTTCTATTTCTTCTTTACTCTTCTCTCAATTTTTACTATTGTCTTATCTATCCTCCGTGTGCCAAAAGACTCACCTTTCTGGAAGGCAAGTTTGATTCTATCCTTCTGTTTAGGAATAATTATAATTAGCCTATTAATTCTACCCCCAGCAAAGCCCAGGATCCCTATGGTCAGAATGGATTCTTTGACCCTGAACAACAGCCACAAACATCCAGAGTAACTTGCAGGGTTCTCGAACGGGGCATGGAATTTCAGAGTCTGGCCAGAATTGCCCAAACCATAGTTAAGCCCATCCTCTTTTTCCTTCTCAAAAAATGAGAGAATTGTGTAAATGCTGGAAACAAATAGAACAGCTCATAGTTCATTCATGTCTGGAGATGAGCTGATTAGATAAAGCATAACTATAGGCTGGCCAACCCTAAACTTATTAAGACCATTAATATGGGTAACCCAGCAAATATTTTACAGCAGTAACAATGCTTTATTCAAATAAATAATTGAAAAATATCTTGTTCCTGTGTTATTCCAAAGAATCTATTTCTGCCTCCATTTCTGATTTTCTATATATGGTGAACTCCTTTCCCCCAAGATTCTGAACAAACTAAAATTCTAGATAGTTTAAAAAAATTGTAAATGTTTATGGGTATTAAAGTTGAGAGAAGAATGAAGGAAATTAGGGTAGTTTCCACCATCTCTTGGGTTTGGGGGATTGTGTTCAGGGAAAGTACCAGACTGTGACCGAACTTCATGTCTCAGAGTAAGAGACTGAGCCAATCTGACCAGGGTTGTGTCCTGCATTTCTGATTTTCTATATATGGTGAACTTCTTTCCCCCAAGATTCTGAACAAACTAAAATTAGGGTAGTTTCCACCATCTCTTGGGTTTTGGGGATTGTGTTCAGGGAAAGTACCATACTGTGACCAAACTTCATATCTCAGGGTAAGAGACTGAGCCAATCTGACCAGGGTTGTGTCCTGCAGCAAACTTGCCCATATTATTGCCCAGTGAGGCTACTGAATACCAAAAGGCCTTTAGCTCCCTCAGGACCCAGTGCTTTCCATTATTACCTAGTTGAGTCACTCCCTTCTGTCTTGCTGTCTGACTCCCAATGTATAAAATTACTATACATTGAAATGTATGCAAACTCTATGCAAAAATGAGTATGGGGAAATTGAATGTAAACTACATGCAAATATTCAATCAAGGTTCTATAAAATTGTATATGTCAATAACAGTAAAGGATTTTAATTAATTCTGTCTTTAAAACTCATGCATTTATTCCATATTTTGTTTCTGGAATTTATAATGTATCAGTGTCAGCTTTGAAAGAGCTATAAGCAAAAGGAATTATACTACTGAGCATAGAAGAGTTGATTTCAACATACACTATAGCACTGTGACTAATTACATATATATTTGAGAGACAAGTCACATTTCCAGAATGTAATTTGTTAAAAAATAAATAAAACGTTTCTATAAAGTTGAATGAGATTTAAGTGGTAAAATACAGACTTGCCTGTTTACAAATGTTCTTCTGGCTTTGTTATTTATAGTCCTCAATAAAGACCAGGATTTCTTTGCTTGGAACAATTCAAGAAAAAGTAGATTCTGCCCATCAATCTGGTCTGCTTTGAGACAGTAGGTTCATTTAATGCAGTTGTAGGACTTTCTGAAATCTAATTGGATTTGAAAGAGTGATTCTTTGATTCTATATAGGCCCCTTCAGATCTCTTTGCACTTTTCCACTCCCAACAAAATTGTTTGAAAGACTTTTATTCACGCATTTCATTACTTCCTCGGTTTTCATTCACTGCACCATGGACTTTCCTCTGCCTTCCAACCCTTCCATGGAACAGAGACTGCTCTTATGGCAATCACCAGGAACTTCCGTTTTTCCAGTTCTCAAGAATGATTCTCTATCCTCATCTTACATGACACCTTGGGAGCATCTAGTCCAGACTTTCTCTTCCACTTTTTGGACCACTTTTTTCTCTAGGCTTTTGTGATTACTTCTCTCCTTGATTTCCTATTATGTCACTGGATACACTTTCTAAATAAGTGGTAAAGAAGTATATTTTAGCTTCTCACCCCAAATCTTGTGAGACCCTAAGAAAAAGATCCAGTTGGGCCTTCAAAGTCTTTTGACCTAGAGAACTGAAAGCTAAGGAACAGGTCGTGTTCTGTTGTTGTTTTTACTAATTTATTGAGGCCCTACTGACATGTAAAAAGCTGTACATAGTTAATGGATAAGTATACACCCATGAAATTATCACTACCATGGAAACAGTAAACATATCTGTCACCTCCAAAAGTTTCCTCCCACCTCTTCCTCCTCCTCCTCACTATTATTATTAGTAGTAGTAGTAATAGTAGTAGTGATAGTAAGAACACCTAACTAACATAAGATTGACCCTCTTAGAAAGTTTTAAGTGTACAATACATTATTGTCTGTATAGGCACTATGCTATATAGTAGACTTTCAGAACTTGTAAAACTGAAACTTTGTATACTTTTTCCATCATCTCCCCATTTTTTCTCTCCACCTCCCCCCACACTCTCTAGCAATCACCATTCTTACTTTCTGTTTCTATGATTATGACTATTTTAGATTCCACATATAAGTGAGATCATACATAATCTGTCTATGTTTGGCTTATTTCACTCAGATAATGTTCTCCAGGTCCATCCTTATTGTTGAAAATGACAGGATTTCCTGCCTTTTTAAGATTAAATAATATTCCACTATGGGTATTGTTTTAAGTCACTGAGTTTCTGATAATTAGTTATTCAGCAATAGCAAACTAATATAGACACTATGGTTTCACACGCACACACACAAATGATGGTGGGGAGCTTAGTCCTCTGCTCTTGTCCTTGTTCCTGCCTTTGGGCATGTATCACTTCCAGTCCTTCAGAAGCTTAAACTCCTCATTCAATCATAGGTTCCCCTCGGCAGCATCACAACCGCCCCCTGTGGGCAACTGGGTCACGTCAGTTCCCAGGTGCCTTCCCAGGTTTCCCACCTGCACACTCACTCCTTCCGGTGTGGAGGCGGCCCGCTCTCAGGTGATCCAGCCACAATGGATTAAATCCTGACTGTTCTTTTTTTTCTCTCTCTCTCTTCTGTCTTTCCATTTCCCAGTCTGTTTCCCCAGCTAGATTCTACAAAAGTTATTTGCAGCATCCCCATCAGTTCCATGAGTGACAGGAGACTAGTGTCAAGTGAGAAAATGAAATGTAAATTTTATTAAACAGCCCCTCTCATCTCTGCGTATCAATCCAGATTCCAGCCGAACACAGCAAATCAAATCCCGTCTATGCCAGGCCTCGGGGCACACGGAAAATCATTTCTCCTTACTACCATTCCCTTCTAGTAAAATATTTTTCTGTTTGGTAAATGAAAATTTCAAATGCAAACCCTGTTTTAATCCCAGTGAAAAGTACATCTTCCAAATGAACATCTGAAAGAGGGAGCAGGAAAGAGAGGAGGGAAGACTCCGGGGCCAAGGAGAAGTAGAAGGGGGCTGAGCAAACAGAATCGTATTTAGCTGTGTCATGTGCCGGCCTGCCTGGTGGTTGTGCAGGGATGCATATCCACAGAATAAACGGAGACATTCTTTGAAAGCTTGGACCATCAGGACATTTATCTACATGCTGTCCTGTCTAGAGATAATACATTTCTTAAATCTGATACACTGCCTTGAAATAGCATTAGAAATATAGATACTTCATTCTGGGTGTGAATATGTGGACAACTACTGACTTGTATGAGGTTCTGAAGGGGGGGTGTCTATGTGCACAGAACATCTTCATTAGGGTCCTTAAAAGCATGATTAACTTAAAAATTTACAAAGCACACTTTGGCCCTAGCTGGTTTGGCTCAGTGGGTAGAGTGCTGGCCTGCACACTGAAAGGTCCTGGGTTTGATTCCTGTCAAGGGCACATGCCTGGGTTGTGGGCTCCATCCCCGGTAGGGGGATTGCAGGAGGCAGCCAGTCAATGATTCCCTCTCATCATTGATGTTTCTATCTCTCCCTCTTCCTTCCTCTCCGAAATCAATAAAAATATATTTAAAATAAATAAATAAAAAGCACATTTTGTACATTAAGGCAAAATAGAACAAATTAAATTTTTAGCCAATATTGAACAGTAAAAATAACATTACTACTTAAAATATACACTAAATTTTCCCATATTCCACTTAAAATATTTAAATAGAAACTGTAAATACGGCTTTATGCTTAAAAAGAATGTAATTTGTTTAATCTACATTTTTTAATTTGCTCATTTTAAGTGGGCAAAACCAGTTTTGAAATGGCAACTTGTCAGGAATCTATTTGTGTTTGGACCACCTGCCCTGATTTGTCTGAGACTGGGGAGTTGCCTGGGATTTGGGACTTCAGTGTCCAACCGAGCAAGTCCCTGAAAGTTCTAGTCAAATGAGAAGCATTAGTCACCCTAACATATTACCATTGTAAGTAATATAAAATAGCAATTCCTTATACTCCAATAAATTGTTAGTATTGTAGACTTTATTTTTGGACAATGTTCTTGAGCTAAATGAACTTATAGCTATATCTGGATGTGATCTCCTTGGTTTGGTCAACTTGGCTAACAGAGTTCAGGCTTCCAAAATTTGTGAGGGCACAACCCAAGTATTACTATTGCTATCTGAGAAAATGGCATTCTTACTCTCTCCTTTCCTTGACTTATGGTTAAGCTTAAAAAACATTCTTCTTGCCATGGCCTGGTGGCTCGGTTGGTTGTATTAGGGGCAAAAATAGAATATTGGGGACTAGCTATGGTTATGGGAAATGTTAATCATACTCTGTTAACTGTTATTGCCTTGTTCTGATTAAAGAAAGGACATTCTAACCTGGCTGGGAGTTGTATGCCCCTGGGACCTGGGAGTCAACCTTGGAATGCGGTCCATTCTCATTCAAGAATTGCCTATTATCATGGAAAGATTAACAACGTTGTTGCCCAAACAATGGAGTCCCACTCCAGCCTGCATAGCCCACTTCCCCATGCCTGTTAGTCCTATTCCCCAGGTAATCTTTGTTTTACCCTGTATAAGCAGTTGGCTTATGGGAGGTGGCTGACCTGCTGCTCTCCCATACTGCCGGCATTATTGGAATAAATGCTCATGTATGATTCAACCCTGTCTCTGCTTCATTGGCTCAAGAGTGACAGGCAGCATGGACCCATTGGAGCATCTTCCTGTGCACCAAAAAGGTTGTGGGTTTGATTCCAGGTCAGCATACATACATAGTGACAGGCTGCCCAGACCCAATCTTTCTGTGCACCAAAAAAGGTTGTGGGTTTGATTCCAGGTCAGCATACATACCTAGGTTATGGGTTTGGTCCCTGGTTGGGGCGCATATGGGAGGCAAACTGATCAGTGTTTCTCATATTTATGTTTCTCTCTTTATCTCTGTCTCTGTCTCTCTCTCTCAAATCAATAAGCATATCCTCAGGTAAGGATTTAAAAAAATAAAAAGGACAATAAAGTCCCTAAACTATTGACAAAAGAGAAATAATTAAATCAAGATTGGGACATCCATATAGTTAAAAGTTTTGATTCATTAAAAATTATGTTGACAAATGATAATTGCATAAGAAATCCTTAGTTTTCAGTATTAAGTTAAACATATAGTATGCAAATAGACTACTGTCTCACACAAATGTGTGTGCATACATTTGTGTCCATATTTATTATATATGTATGTGTTAAAAGAGTTATCCCTGAAAGATGGTTTTATTTTATTTTTCATTGTC